AATGATATATAATATATAACACGGTATTGAGACAAGACATACAAATTTGTTATTCCAAAGCGGTAATAGTTTGAAGCGAATTCGTTCATGTTAGTTACCAAGCGAAAATGACCACAAACCGGAAATAAAATACTTTGTAGCAAAGATAAACACTATAGTTCGCGCGCTTTTTGTTATTTATAAAATATTTAATTGTTTTCTTGTTTATTATGGAATCACTAATGACGATCCTGGGTATCTGATAAAATTTTTTTTTTAAAAAAAAATAAAAATGTCACAACCACCAGTTCGATCAGATAGAGAATTATGTTGGAAATTAAGAGATGAATATTTTAAATGTCTTGGAGAAATTGATCCAACGACGGTAAATAATGATGAATCAATAAAAAGTTTAGTAAAAAAGAATGGATGCTGGAAGATAAAAGGAGCTTACGAAGATAAGTGTATTGCAAGTTGGGTAAGAGTAAATGATGGTGCGGAAAATTTTATGCTTGAGGAAAAAGGAATATAATATTATAAACATATATATTGATACATATTCATTATTATTAGGTTGATTATTTTAATAAAAAACATTCATTCGAACTTCGAAAATCAAAAATAGAACAAAGTAATGACAATAATAATAAATCATAACAGTAAACAATAAAATGTAAATTAGCTTTTTAATTTTTGTTTTTTATAAATCTTTAAAGCTTTTAAAGTTATTATCAATTAAATCATTATCATTATTACAATCACTATTATTACCATTATTACATTCATTTAATATCCATTCAAATAATTCACTACTAATAAAATCCGATCCAATATCCAGGTTATTTGATGAATGGTCTTCTTTTTCTTCTAGATTCTTTAAATTATTTATCCAATCAGTTAATTCTACTATATTCACTGCATTCACCGCATTCACTGCATTTAGTAAAATTCTTTTATCTAAATTATTTATTAAATCTTCAATTTCTTTCTTTTCAGCCAAATATCTGATTTCCAAATAATCTATATGATGTTGCCAATTAGATTTTACCATTATATTATAAGAATGTTTCAAGCATATCAATGCAAACTGTTGATATATTATACTATTACTATTACTATTATTACTATCGGTAACAGTTTTATTTTCAGAATAATTGATGAATGTTTTACTAATTTCTTTCCACACAATATAATCATTTTTACGAATTTTCTGATATTTAACAAACCATTTGATCGAATCTAGAATTATGATGATAATAATATCGAATCAGTAATTTGATATATTATTAATTAATTAATTAGTTAGTGACTACCTACCTATTAATTAATTAATTACCTGCAAATCTTCCACCTTTAGAATAAATCATACCTTTAAGGTTTACATGTCCAGGTTCATTTGAAACCTTTCAATTAAAAAAACCCATAATAAAATCAAATTAATATATACATCATCATCATCATCATCCATCATCTATTAACCAACTAATACTGACCAGTTTATCAGCACATTTTACAGCCAATTCAATATCTCCCAATTTTAAAGCACATTGAGAAGCTATTTCTAACATTTCACGCGTACTAGTTAATCTATTGGGATTATTATAAACATTGCTATTACTACTACCATCATTAGCTAAATTGTGATTGTTTGATTTTTCTACAAAATCAATATATTCTAACGATAATCTTAACGCTTCCTGATAATTTTTTTTAAAATAATAATTTTCAATTGAATTTTTTAATTGTGTAGGTCCAAATTTTTCTTGCAGTAAAAGGTTTATTGCCACTTTAGGAGGTTTATGATACCAACCATCATAAACGTATAATGGAACATATTTCTTACTGTTATCATTTGATAAATTTTCTGGATTAGAAAAATTAGAATTAGAATTAGAGTTAGAGTTAGAGTTAGAGTTATTATCAAAAAATTCTTTTTCTTCTTCCTCTTGAAAATTATTAAAAATTTTTAATAATTCATCAAAATTCTCTTCTATCGACATTTTGAAAGATCTGTTATCAATCTAAATTACACACACATTATTAATATTAAGAAAAAAGTTTTGTTATTAAATATGAATCAAGCAGAATCGGATCAAATCCGACATTAAATATTTTATATATTATTGATTTAATTACTATTATGTGTTTTGCTTTGTGTTGATTGATTAAACGTTTTTGTTAATTGCTTCATTTAACAACTTATCACATGACTTTCAAAAATGGCAATAAATAATAATAATTCTTCAACTTGCAATAAAATTTAGTCACATAATTCGACTGCGCCTCAACATAAATCTAACCTAATTTGGAAATTATTTCGAACACTGCCCCTACAGTGCTTATAGTAACAATTGGTCAAAATACTAAAACAAAAAAAATTATATCATTTTAAAAAATTTAACCGATAAGTTTTATTGTTCTTCAAAAACTTCTGGTTTTTTCTTAAACTGAAAATTGGCAGAGCCTTAGCATTTTGAAAATTCCGAATTTTTGTTGTACATTTAAGAAATTGAGACTAAGTAAATTTCGTGTAACAACTTTTTTTCATAGAATATTTCCTACAACATACATTTGATTTATTTGATTTATTTATTTCCTTTTTTTTTTATTAATAAATAAAAGTTATTTTACAACAAAAAAGTTTAACGAACATATTACATTAAAAGAAAATCATTACCAAACTTGGTCGTGAGAAAATATTGTAACACGAAAATTATTGTTGCACTTCTGAGCATGAAAAGAAAATTTGAAACAAAATTTTTTTTTAGATTAATAGACTCCCTTTTTAAAGCTGAATTGAATGGTGGTGGGTTTTTTAAAATCCGATATTTCAAAAAGTTTTGAGTATAGATGATCCGCACTGTATAATCATTTACCGTAAAGTCTGGAAAGATAGCACCCCCTACTTTAAAACAATTGAGCGTCAATATAAAAAAAATGTTACACA